ATGGCTGCAAAGTGTGTCTGGCTTGGGCAACAAGGCAGAAGACAGTAGGATTCACGGAGAATCCAGGCACCTTAAACACAACTCTGAACAATCTACAGGTCTCAGTTTTAAGATCTGTTCTCAGAAATTCTTGTGGATACCAGGCTTTTCATTTCTCCAGTTAATCTAGGATTTCTATCCCAACATCAAGATAAACCACCAGAGAACCATGACCTTGGACTATACAGTTTTGCCTGTTTTCTCAGAGTCCTTCTTTGGCATTATAAGCTAGGCAAAAATACAGAAGATGTATAAAAGAACCAAATGGAAATCAAACAACTGGAAAATTCAAAAACCAAAATGAAAACTCACTGGGTGAGCTCAATAGTAGATTATATACGAGACAGAAAGAAACCAGTGAGCCCAAAGGGAGATCAATGAAAGTTAATCAATGTGCGGAACAGAGAAAAACAGACTGGTGGAAACAAAAAGATGGGAGCCTGAGGGTCCTATGGAACAAGAATGTGAGAATTATCATTCACGTTACTGGAGTCCCTGAGAGGAGAAAAAGTGTGGGGTTGAAAAAATATTTGAAAAATAACTAAAAATCTCCCAAATTTGGCAAAGAGCATACACCACATGATTCAAAAAGCTGAGAAAACACCAAACAGGATAAACCCTAAAAATGCTATGCCAGGACACATCATAAACTGAATATTATAATAAAAAACACTTTGAAAGCACCTGACGGAAAGGATGCCTTTCAAATAGAGGAACAATGGGTTGAAAGGCAGGTTTCTCATCTGAAACCATGCTGGACAAAAGGAGATGGACAGAAGAAAAAACAGACATGTTTTCTTTTGTCCTAAAAGAACTGTGGACCCCAAGTCTTATGTCGCACAAAAATATCCTTCAGGAATGAAGTGAACATAAAGACATTTTTAGATGAAAAAAGAAAAAACATTTGTTAACAGCAGACATACCCTAGAAAATAGGCCACAGGAAATTTGCCAAACAGAATGGAAATGTTAACAGAAGACTTGGGACTTCAAGAATGGAGAAACAACAATGGAATGGTAAAAGTAGAGGTAAACAGACTATGCTTCTCACGAATTTTGTGGGGGGGGAAAAAAAAACTTAGTTGAGGCAAAAATTACAATATCCAATATAGTTCTCAGTATACAACGAGAAAATACAATTATATTAAGAATAGGGAATGTAGGTGAACCTAATGGAATCAAGGTTTCTATACATCAAAGTGCTAAAATGCTGGTAACAGTCTGTGATAAGTTATGTATACATAATACAATACGTAAAGAAAATTAAGATATATACTCAAAAACATTACAGACGTATCAAATGGAATTCTAAAAAATATTAAAATAACCCACAGGAAATGGGGTGGGGGAACCCAAATAATAAAAACTGGAAAACAAGAGGAATAATACAAAGGGAACACACACAAAAAAAAGATTAATAAAATGGTACAGTTAAGCTCTAACATATCAATAATTATTTTAAATTTAGATGATCTAAACCTACGAATTAAAAGTGGCATAATGGATTAAAAAAAAAAGTATGACCCCAACTACATGCTGTCACAAGAAACTTACTTCAAATATAATGATGTAGATGTTAAAAATAAAATTATGGAAAAATATAGACTACAAACATTAATAAAAAAATGCAGTAGTGGGCTTCCCTGGTGGCACAGTGGTTGAGAGTCCGCCTGCCGATGCAGGGGACACGGGTTCATGCCCCGGTCCGGGAAGATCCCACATGCCGCAAAGCGGCTGGGCCCGTGAGCCATGGCTGCTGAGCCTGCCCGTCTGGAGCCCGTGCTCTGCAACGGGAGAGGCCACAACAGTGAGAAGCTCGCGTACCACAAAAAAAATAAAATAAAAATAAAAATGCAGTAGTGACTATACTAATATCAGATAAAGTATGCTTCAAAGGCAAGAAAATGAACCCTTTTATTATGATTAAAGGGTCAATACACCAAGATGACATAGCAATCCTATATGTGTATGCACCAAACAACAGAACTTTGAAATACATGAAGCAGAAACTTACAGAACTTGTAAGGAATAGACAATTTCTCAATTATACTTCAGGACTTCATCATCCCTCTCTCTGCAACGGACAGAAATACTACACAGAAAGTCAGCAAGGATGTAAAAAATCTGAGCAATAACCCCAACCAAGAGGATTGTGCAGACATTTATAGAAACTTCACCCAGTGACAGCAGAATACACATTCGTTTCGAGAAGCCTTACAGAACAAGATATACCACACCCTGGATCATAAAACAAACTTCAACAAATTTAAACAAACCAAACATGAAACAAGTAATAAATCAGTAACAAAAGATACCAGAAAATGCTCCAAACAGTAGGAAATGGAACAATATACTTCTGAATAATACATGGGTGTCAGAGGAAGTCTCTAAGGGAATCAAGGGATATTTAGAACTGAATAAATTGTAATGAAAACTTGTGGGATAAGGCTGGAACAGTGCTGAAGGAACTTTATAATACTTAATGATCCATTAGAAAAGAAAAAAAAAGTTTCAAATTAATAATCTTAGCATCCCTCAAAAAATAAAAAGAGCAAAATACAACCAAAGCAAAGTAGAAGATATGATATCATAAAGACCTGAACAGAAATCAGTGAAATTAAGGACAGAAAGGTAAAGGGACTTCCCTTGCGGGCCAGTGGTTAAGACTCTGTGCTCTCAATGCAGGGGGCATAGGTTCGATCCCTGCGGGGAACTAAAATCCCACATGCTGCGTGGTGTGATAAAAAAAAAAAACAAAATAAAACAAACAAAAAAAAACACCCAGAAAGGCAATAGAGAAAAATCAATAAAATAAAGTGCTGGTTCTTCAAAATGTTCAGTAAAATTGGTATATGTCTAAGACTGACAATGATTAAAAAGAGGTGACATATTTCCAAAATCAGGAATAAAATGCGATATAAGTACAGACCCTGTTGCCATTAAAAAGATAATAAGGGAATACTCCCAACAAGTCTCCAAATAAGAAAAGTTAGATGAAATGAAACATTTCCTTGAAGAGGACCAACTATCCAATTTATCCAATATGAAAACAGATACTCTGAATAGTTCCATACTTATCAAATAATATGTAACTAAAAAGTATCCAGAAAATCTCCAGGCTTAAATGGTTCACTGGAGGATGTTATGAAACATTAAAACAACAATTAAAAACAATTACATAGTCTTCCTAAAAAACAGAACTTGGGAAGCCACTATCACCTTGACACCAAAACCAGACAATGACAGTAGTTAAAAACAAGCAAAGAATGACAACTACATATCATCAATCAAGAGATTATAGGAAAACCTGCTCAAAAAAATATAATCAAATGGAATGCTTTAATATATATTAAAAAAGTTATACTCCACAACCAAGTGGGGTTTATTCCAAGGATGCAAGGCTGGTTTAATATTCAAAACTCAATGTAATACACTATATCAATAGGCTAAAGAATAAAAACCAGATGATCACATTAACTGATGGAGCTAAAGTATCTGACAAAATCCAACATTCATTCATGACAACAAAAATCTCAGCAAATTAACAGAGGGAAACTTTCTAGACTTGACAGGAAAACTCTATGGAAAAAAAACAACCTTACAACTAACATTGTACTTGATGAAAAACTGACCATTTTCCCCCTAATATCAGAAACCAGTCAAGGATGTCCTCTCTTACTACTCTTACTCAACATCATACTGAGAGTCCTAGCTAAGTGCATAAGAAAAAGAAATAATACGTATACAAATAGGAAGAAAGAAAACTATTTGCAGTTGACATTTCTATGCAGAAAATACCAAGGATTCTATCCAAAGAAATGGCTAGAAATAACTGAGTCCAGCCAAGGCTGCAAGATACTAAAATATCACCCCCCAGAACAATTATCTTTCTGTATGCTACTAAAGATTATGTGGAAATGAAAGTTTAAAACAGTGCCAATAGGGAATTCCCTGGCAGTCCAGTGGTTAGGACTCCTCGCTTTCACTGTAGGGGGCCTGGGTTTTATCCCTGGTGGGAGAACTAAGATCCCACAAGCCTCGAGGCCAAAAAAAAAAAAAAAAACCAATTAACAAATAACAAAAAAAAAAAAAACCCCAACAACCTAGACATAAACCCTAAAAAAAAATGTACAGAACCTGTATTGTTCAATATTACAAAATGGTAATGAAATATCAAGAATTACTTAGATACATGAAACACTATACCATGTACTGTGTTCATGGTGCTGCTTTTAAACAAACTGCTCTACAGGTTTAAATCAATTTCTATAAACACGTGAGCAAGGTTTTTTTGCATCCTAAGATTTATATGGCAAGTCCAAGGAACTAGAAAGCGGAGTTAATTTAAATAATAAAAGTATTCACTTTACCCAATTTTAAGATTTACCGTATAGCTACAGAAATTAAACAACAGATTGAATCAATAAAAAGTCTGAATGTTTGGTGTTTAAAACCACCAAAAGAACCGTTTGTTTTTTAAAAAAACCAAAGCCTGAAACAGTCTTAACTGGTGCAATAAAATGTGCCCGTGTGTCATATGTGTATCTTTATCTACTTAAATACCTGGCTTCAAGTGTCTAACTCTCCCAATACTGGACAGCAACGAATGTATATATAAGACACATAAAGGGTCAAGGCCCTTTGCCTGTGAAATAACATTCCCCTCACCCCAAGTAAACTAAGGGATCCATGACAAAGTGCCATAACCTTGACAGAGAAGTCTCAAACTATGTTTGCATTTCATTTTTTCATCTAAGTTTCCACCTTCGTTTTATAAAAATTCCTGAGATAACACTACAGTGTAAACTAAGGGAAAAACGTAGCTAAAGTTTTCCTTAGTGCACAATAAACACTGGTCTCTCCCTCACAGATGAACTCTCAGATGTAGAGTAAGGCTCTAGGCTGGGTCAATTTCTACAATGCGTCTTTACACAACTACTGATGATCCGTGACAGGTTTTCTCACAGAGAAGATACTTGTGGGGTTTCTCTTTGGTATGTACGATCAGATGTCATGGTAGGTGTTTTCTCCTGCAAAAGATTTTCCTCGGTGTTTACATTCAAAAACTCTTTCCCCAACAGGAGTTCTCGGAGGGTGACTGAGGTTTGCCCACTGGTGAAGGTTCTTCCTACATCTGTCACACTGACAGGGTTTCTCCCAGTATGAATCCTTTGATGCTGAGTGAGGGATGAGCTACGACTGAAGGCCTTTCCACATTCACTGCACTTATAAGGCTTCTCTCCCGTGTGGATGATGGCATGTCGAATGAGGTTTGTGCTCCAGCAAAAGGACTTCCCACACTCCATGCATTCATAGGGCTTCTCTCCACTGTGAATCCGCTGGTGCCTGGTGAGGCCTGACCTGCGGTTGAAGGCCTTCCCACACTCCGTGCACTCAAAGGGCTTCTCCCCAGTGTGAATGCTGAAGTGCCGAATGAGGTCTTTCCTAGTGCTAAAGGCTTTCCCACATTCTTTGCACTCAAAAGGTTTCTCTCCAGTGTGGGCCCGTTTATGCAAGATAAAAGTGGAGCAGTGGGTGAAGGCCCTTCCACATTCAGTGCACACAAAAGGCTTCTCCCCAGTGTGAATCCGCTGGTGCCTCTTGAGGTATGATCTGTGGTTGAAGGCCTTCCCACACTCGAGGCATTCAAAGGGCTTCTCCCCAGTGTGGATGACATAGTGGTGAATGAGGGCTGCGCTCTCACAGAAGGCTTTACCGCATTCACTGCACTCGTAGGGCTTCTCCCCAGTGTGAGTCTGCTGGTGCCACACGAGGTATGACTTGTGTTTAAAGACCTTGCCACATTCAAAGCACTCATACGGATTCTCACCACTGTGAATGATGTGATGTCGAAGGAATCCTGGCCTATGTCGGAAGACTTGCCCACATTCTTTGCACACAAAGGGTTTTTCCCCGGTGTGCCTCCTCTTATGTAAGACAAAGTTGGAGCGGTGGGTGAAGGCCTTTCCACATTCATTGCACTTGTAAGGCTTCTCTCCAGTGTGAATCCGCTGGTGTTGTGTAAGGTAGGACCTGCGGTTGAAGGCCTTCCCGCACTCTGTGCACTCATAGGGCCTCTCCCCGGTGTGGATCATGTGGTGCTGGAGGAGGTGTGTGCTCTTAATAAAGGTTTTCCCACACTCTGTGCATTCATAGGGCTTCACACCAGAGTGAATCTTTTCATGTCCAGCAAGAAGGTGTTTCTTGTTAAAAACTTTCCCACATTCACTGCATTTAAAGATACTTTCCTCTTCCTGAATCATGTGGTCATTACCAAATCCACATGAGTCATGGTCATGGACAGCACCTCCTGCAGGGACCAGCTCCTCTACAATCCTTGAACACACACCACCAGCTGTCCCTAAGCTGCCATGTTCAGGACTCATTTTCTCAGGAAGCGTCTCCCTCTGGGGGTCCATCCCTGGTCCCAAGTGTCCTTCCTGCATTTCCAACAGCCCATCCTGATCCTTGGTTTGTCCGAACTGGGAGTCCCCTGGGCCTCCTTGTATTAGTTCCTGGATAGAGGATCCCTCAAATAGGGTTGGCTCACAAGTGGTAGGTTCTGTGGTCTTGGGTTTTCCTTTGTCAACTGAAAGAAACCCAATAAACAAGGCCCATTAGTAATACCAACAAGGAAGAAACAAAATCGGCATTTCGGTGAAAAAGATAAAGATGAAAACAGTGCCTCTGTGTCTGTTTTGCTACCTCTGAATCTCAACATTGTAACTTCTTTCTTTCTTGGTCATTAGACTGCTGACACCTTGAAAGCTGGACCCAGTAAGAGAGTCTGCAATGGACATAATGCCACAATTTCACAGGCTTGGCTGGACAGAGTAATAATGCCTCTGTGGGCTTTCAGTTTCCTTTAATCGAAGACATCCCATGTTGCTGTAAGAACACGAGGAAAAGGGAATTCCATAATGGTACAGTGGTTAGGACTCTGTGCTTTCACTGCCTGCCAGGCCCAGGTTCAATCCCTGGTGGGGGAACTACAATCCCGCAAGCCAAGTGGCACGGCTGAAAAAAAAAAAAAAAAAAAAAAAACCCACTAGGAAAAGGCATCTAATGCAGCCCTGATAAAGGACAGGAAGTGTATAATGCCAATTCAACTATCTCCAAAGAAAAGTATGGTCCTTGCCCCAGCTCTAAGGAAGTAACCTGTAAACTGGGTATCTCCAGAGAGACAGGCATGTCTTTGTTGTTCATGGTGAGTCCCTAGGGATGTACATGATACTTTACGACAACAGATGACTCACTATGGGCCCCTAGATAGTTTATGCTGAAGAGATGACATTAGGTCTGGGTAAGGTCTGGGCACAGCAGAAAGACCAAACGTGTAATTAGAAAGCTGGGGCTTTGAACCACGAGTTATCAGCTGGATCTCTGGAAAGGGAAGAAGGGTGGAGACTGAGTCCCATGTACCATGACTCAATCAATCATGCTTCTGTAATGAAAACTCAACAAAAATCTGGATACCGAGGCTCTGGTGAGTTTCCTGGGTTGGCAACACTCCGTGCACATACTGCCAGATATCGATTCCAGGAGGTAACGAGACGCCGAAGACACGGAAGCTTCGTGTCTGGAACACCTCCGGCCCCTCTTCTACTCTGCATCTTTTGCCTGTAACAAACATGATTTGTGAGCATAACAGGTTTTAGGGAGTTTTGTGAGTCTCCTAGCAAATCACTGAACCTGAGGGTGGACTGGGAAACCCCTCGACTTGCAGAAGGTTCACAACACCTGGGCAGACTTGGCAGTCCTGGAGTTCTGTATTTCTAACCTTGAGTTTGGCTAACTGTGTGCAGGAAGAGACCAGGGGAGTCCTACTGGCACCACTGGAGTTGCCACAGAGAGGAGGTGGGAAGGACACTATAGCCTTAGGACACAGAATGTACAAAGGCCCCCCAGGCCATGAGGATGGTATTGACAAGAATCCAGGGAAACTGATTCCCATGGTTTTGACTTGGGTTACAGTGAGGACTCCCAGGACAGGGCTCATAAGGCAGGAGGTGAGCAGGACTGGGATGGACACATTGGGTCTGTTATGCCTGAACAGTCTGGTGAAAAGACTAGAAAAATACACATGATCTAGATGGAGAAAATATTAATAGTTTACTTGAAAACATTAAAGAGGAGCTATACCAATGAAGAATTTAACGTGGGGGAGGTGAAATTGGAGAAAGATGGTCAAAAGGTACAAAATTCCAGTTTTAAGATAAACAAGTCCTAGGGATGCAGTGTACAACTCAATAACTGTAGCTAACACTGCTGTATGCTATAAAGAAGCACTGTTAAGAAAGTAATCCTAAGAGTCCTCATCACAAGGAGAAATTTTTTTTTCCTTTTCTCTTTTCCTCTTTACTTTTTTTTCTATCTATATGGGTGTCAGCTGAACCTACTGTGGTAATCATTTCACAATATATGTAAATCAAACCATCAGGCTGTATGACTTAAAACTTATACAGAGGACTTCCCTGGTGGCACAGTGGTTAAGAACCCACCTGCCAATGCAAGGGACATGGGTTCGATCCCTGGTCCGGGAAAATCCCACATGCTGTGGAACAACTAAGCCCGTGCGCCACAACTACTGAGCCCGTTTGCCACAACTACTGAAGCCTGCGCGCCTAGAGCCCATGCTCTGCAACGAGAAGCCACTGCAATGAGAAGCCCGCACACTGCAACAAAGAGTAGCCCCAACTCACCACAACTAGAGAAAGCCCGCACGCAGCAACGAAGACCCAACACAGCCAAAAAAATAAAATAAATAAAAATAAATAAATTAGACAAGCCTCTTAGATAGCCTCATCCACCAGAGGGCAGACAGCAGAAGCAAGAACTACAATCCTGCAGCCTGTGGAACAAAAACCACATTCACAGAAAGACACACAAGATGAAAAGGCAGAGGGCTATGTACCAGATGAAGGAACACAATAAAACCCCAGAAAAACAACAAAATGAAGTGGAGATAGGCAACCTTCCAGAAAAAGAATTCAGAATACTGATAGTGAAGATGATCCAGGACCTTGAAAAAAGAATGGAGGCAAAGATCGAAAAGGTGCAAGAAATGTTTAACAAAGACCTAGAAGAATTAAAGAACAAACAAACAGAGATGAACAATACAATAACTGAAATGAAAAATACACTAGAAGGAATCAACAGCAGGATAACTGAGGCAGAAGAACGGATAAGTGACCTGGAAGACAGAATGGTGGAATTCACTGCTGCAGAACAGAAGAAAGAAAAAAGAATGAAAAGAGATGAAGACAGCCTAAGAGACCTCTGGGACAACATTAAATGCAACAACATTTGCATTATAGGGGTCCCAGAAGGAGACGAGAGAGAGAAAGGACCAGAGAAAATATTTGAAGAGATTATAGTCGAAAACTTCCCTAACCTAGGAAAGGAAATAGCCATCCAAGTCCAGGAAGCGCAGAGAGCCCCATACAGGATAAACCCAAGGAGAAACACATCAAGACACATAGCAATCAAATTGTCAAAAATTAAAGACAAAGAAAAATTATTGAAAGCAGCAAGGGAAAAACGACAAATAACATACAAGGGAACTCCCATAAGGTTAACAGCTGACTTCTCAGCAGAAACTCTACAAGCCAGAGAGAGTGGCATGATACACTTAAAGTGATGAAAGGGAAGAACCTACAACCAAGATTACTCTACCTGGCAAAGATCTCATTCAGATTCGATGGAGAAATCAAAAGCTTTACAGACAAGCAAAAGCTAAGAGAATTCAGCACCACCAAACCGGCTCTACAACAAATGCTAAAGGAACTTCTCTAAGTGGGAAACACAAAAGAAAAGTACCTACAAAAACAAACAATTAAGAAAATGGTCATAGGAACATACATATTGAAAATTACCTTAAATGTGAATGGATTAAATGCTCCAACCAAAAGACACAGGCTTGCTGAATGGATACAAAAACAAGACCTGTATATATGCTGTCTACAAGAGACTCACTTCAGACCTAGGGACACATACAGAGTGAAAGTGAGGGGATGGAAAAAGATATTCCATGCAAATGGAAATCAAAAGACAGCTAGAGTAGCAATACTCATATCAGATAAAATAGGCTTTAAAATAAATGTTAGAAGAGACAAGGAAGGACACCACATAATGAAGAAGGGATCAATCCAAGAAGAAGATATAACAATTATAAATACATATGCACCCAACATAGGAGCAACTTAATACATAAGGCATCTGCTAACAGCTATAAAAGAGGAAATCAACAGTAACACAATAATAGTGTGGGACTTAACACCTCACTTACACCAATGGACAGATCATCCAAACAGAAAATTAATAAGGAAACACAAGCTTTAAATGACACAATAGACCAGATAGATTTGATATTTATAGGACATTCCATCCAAAAATAGCAGATTACACTTTCTTCTCAAGTGCACATGGAACATTCTCCAGGATAGATCACATCTTGGGTCACAAATCAAGCCTCGGTAAATTTAAGAAAACTGAAATCATATCAAGCATCTTTTCTGACCACAATGCTATGAGATTAGAAATCAGTTATAGAGAAAAAAACGTAAAAAACACAAACACATGGAAGCTAAACAGTACGTTACTAAATAACCAAGAGATCACTGAAGAAATCAAAGAGGAAATCAAAAAATACCTAGAGACAAATGACAATGAAAACACGAAGATCCAAAACCTATGCGATGCAGCAAAAGCAGTTCTAAGAAGGAGGTTTATAGCAATACAAGCCTTCCTCAAGAAACAAGAAAAATCTCAAACAATCTAACCTTACACCTAAAGGAACTAGAGAAAGAAGAACAAACAAATCCCCCCAAAAAAAAGTTTGCAGAAGGAAAGAAATCATAAAGATCAGAGCAGAAATAAATGAAACAAAAACAAAGAAAACATTAGCAAAGATCAATGAAACTAAAAGCTGGTTCTTTGAGAAGATAAACAAAATTGATAAACCATTAGCCAGACTCATCAAAAAGAGGGAAAGGACTCAAATCAATAAAATTAGAAATGAAAAAGGCTAAGTTACAACAAACACCGTAGAAATGCAAAGCATCCTAAGAGACTACCTACAAGCAACTGTATGCCAATAAAATGGACAACCTGGAAGAAATGGACAAACTCTTAGAAAGGTATAACCTTCCAAGACTGAACCAGGAAGAAATAGAAAATATGAACAGACCAATCACAAGTAATGAAATTGAAACTGTGATTAAAAATCTTCCAACAAACAAAAGTCCAGGACCACACGGCTTCACAGGTGAATTCTATCAGTTAGAGGAGAGCTAACACCTATCCTTCTCAAACTCTTCCAAAAAATTGCAGAGGAAGGAACACTCCCAAACTCATTCTATGAGGCCACCATCACCCTGATACCAAACCAGACAAAGATACTACAAAAAAAGAGAAAATTACAGACCAGTATCACTGATGAATATAGATGCAAAAATCCTCAACAAAATACTAGCAGAGACTCTGGGATGGCTCACACCAAGGAGTACTTCCCTAAACTTCTGCTGTCAGTGTCCTTGTCCCCACGGTGAGCCACAGCCTCTCCCTGCCTCTGCAGGAGACCCTCCAACACTAGAAGGATGGACCCCAACCTCCAAACTTGATTCATATGTTGAACCTGAAGACAGTTCACACACCAAGAGAATCTGACAGAACGTCATCACATGAGGGACTCCTGGTGAAATCAGTTTGTGGAAACAGACTAAATTTTCCGTATTGGATCAAGGATTCCAACACGTTATAAGAGCTGAACAAGGAAAGAAGACATGAGAGGAGGCTACAAAAGACAGACACTACTGGGATCACAATGAATCTGAGGTCACAAAACTCTACCCCATGCTGCTTCTGGGCCTTGGAGCCCCATGTTATTTTTCCAGCACACTACCTTCCATTTGTGATGAAGAATGCTACCCATCAGTATAAAGAAAAAAGGAGATGAGGGAACCGCATGGCCACCTAATGATGGTGGTCCTGAACCGAACATGCATCTCTCTGAAGTATGCCTGTTATCCCACCAATAAAAGAAGCCAGCATGACAGAAGTGGAAGCAAAAGAGATGTGAAAGTACAACCTTCAGAAATTATCTTGGGGAGAGAATTAACATTGAACACAGTAACTATAATTATGACGCACTGCGAAGTTTGACACTAGTAACCACCTAAACTTATCTCCCTCTCTTGATTTCTGCTCTTCCCCCAGCTCTTTAGTATTCTTTGTGTACTTCTTTTTTCATCTCCTTCAAGGTTTTACTAAGGGAACTTATAAATTGTCTCATTCCACCTCAAAAACAAAACAAAACACTAGCAAACAGAATCCAACAACACATTAAAAGGATCATAAAAAAATTAATTTAAAAAAGTAAAAAAAACCCAAAAAACTGTATTCCTATCTCACACTATACTCAAATTCTACCTCAGACCAAAAAGAGTTAAATGTCAAGTGCCAAGCTTAGAACATCTTAGAATAAAACAAGAATATCTTTTTGATATTGGGGATAGAGCAGCATCTATAACTGATAAAAGTATCAAGAATGTACAAAAAAAATCCCTACAAACAAAAGGGAAACAAGGTAACAGAAACACAGGCATTTTCCATGAAATGACATTTCAAAGAAGTTGTTTCTCAGTATCCACAGCAGATTAACTGGTTCCAGAAACCCCCTGCTCAATACTAAAATCTGCAGATGCTCAAGTCCTTTATATAAAATGGTGGAGTATTTGCATATAACCTACACACATCCTCCTGTGTACCTTAAATCATCTCTAGATTGCTTATAATATCTAATACAATGCAAATGCTATATATTGATAAATAGTTGCCAGCACAAGGCAAATTCAAGTTTTTTTTTTTTTTAATTTTTTTGGCTGCATTGGGCCTTTGTTGCTGCATGTGGGCTTTCTCTAGGTACGGCGTGCAGGTTTCTCATTGCGGTGGCTTCTCTTGTTGCAGAGCACAGGCTCTAGGTGCACGGGCTTCAGTAGTTGTGGCACGCGGGCTCAGTAGTTGTGGCTCACAGACTCTAGAGCACAGGCTCAGTAGTTGTGGCACACGGGCTCAGCTGCTCGGTGGCATGGGGGATCTTCCCGGACCAGGGCTCGAACCCACGTCCCCTACAGTGGCAGGCAGATTCTTAACCACTGTGTCACCAGGGAAGCCCCAAATTAAAGTTTTGTTTTTTTGAACATTCTGGTATTTTCTCTTCCCCCCAATGTTTTCAATCTGCACTCAGTTGAATCTGCAGAGGCAGAACCTGCGGATACGAGGGGACAATTGTACAAATGGGCCTATAATCACATGATAAGGTGCTAAAGGTTGTGAATGAGGAAAATGCAAAGCAAGCTCACCTAAGATATAATTTTGTGTCAGTCTGTTAAGCAAAAATTGAGGAGCCTTACAGCATCAAGGACTGAACAGGACATAACTGGTGGAATCTGGAGAATTATAAATAGGTACATCCCTTTTAGAAAACATTATCACCTAAACTTGAAAATTTGCATAACCTATAATCCAACAATTTTACTCCGAGAAATAACAAAAGACAAGCCTAACCGTGTGCAAGATGACCAATATATATGAATGTTCTTGGCAGCACTGTTTGTGAGGGTGAAAAAATGTAAAAAATTAAATGCCTCAGAGAGTGGATGAATACAATATGAAACAGGAGCATTTTTTATTTGCTTCAAGTGTAAGAAACATGGGCACATTTTTACCTTGAGCAGAGCAAGAATGAAATTGCTGAACAAGCAGAAAGTAAGTGAAGAAATAATTTCCCTAAAAGATGTACTCTAGACTATGGTTCAACAACTGGCCATGGCCTGGGCCAAGACCTCTTCCACCAGGTGAAAGGAAAACTATAGACTGAGAGTCTATATGAGTCTATATGACTGAGAGTCTGAATGAGTGTGGAAGGGTAGAAGACCAAGCAAGACAAGGGGATAGATTTTTAACATGAAAACTTGCTGACACATGAGAGGTCACAGGCTGAGACACCTGTCCTGGGGAAGTGGTCACTGCGAGGATGGCCGGATGTAGGGGCCGATGGAGGTGGAGGGGTGAGGATACAGTCTCTGGGGCTGTATCCAGTCTCTAATCTGCTTGGATGGCAGGACCATGCGCTCTAACTCGGGAGGGGAAGAAGTGAGCATCGTGACGGGTTCCTTGCCAGGCATGCTGACTGGGTGCCTCTGAGATATTCAGGTGGAGAAGGGCAGAGAGCAGAAGGCAGAGGCTCGGAACTGCCCCTCTGAGGGGCTGTCGACAGGCTGCACACAGGAACTGCCCCTGAGGGGCTGTCGACGGGCTGCACACAGACACTCGCAGGCTGGTGGGGCCGCCCGAGGGACTAGGAGGGAAAGAGCACAACTCTGCAGGGGCCCCATCACCACACATGGCGGCCCCAGTGCCCTCAGCAGCCCAGATGTGGGGCACAGCAGGACAAATGTCACCATCAAGTTTTACCAAACAGGAGGAGTAGGGAGACATGCAACAAGGGAAGGCTTCTTGAGTATCTGGACAGGGTGGGAAAGGGGAGGCAGACGAGAGCTGGAGAGGAGCTGGGAGAGGAAGGAAGGCCCTTTTCCTCAGAGGTCAGAGGGAAACGTGAGATGCATTACTCATTACAATACAGGGACATGAATGACACCAACGGCTTACTTCCCACGAGCCACTGACTGCGGCGCAGACGCTGTGCTAAGCGGTTTTATGCTTTAACACGTTATGTGACCACGTCCCCAACAACCCGGAGACAGAGCAACTATCAGGAACAGACTGAGCGCAGCAGACCACACTCGCCAAACCATCTGCTCCTCCACTTGGACACATGGCTCAGCCCCATCTCCCAGCCCCATCCCCCGAGTGTGGCCAAGTGCCTAGTGCCTATCAGTGGAAGCGGGGGGCTGGTGTTTGTGCGAGTCTTCCTTGCCCTCTCACTCTCCTCTGCCTGCTGCAGGAGGTCAGGACAACCTTCAAGCCACATGCTGATGGCAGAGTGGACCCGGGTTCCTGAACAGCCGTGTGATGCACAGTCACACGGACCGGGTGTGCCTCAGAAAAAGTGCTTCCAGGGACATCCCTGGTGGTCCAGTGGTTAAGACTCCGAGCTTCCACTGCAGGGGTCACGGGTTCGACCCCTGGTCAGGGAACTAAGATCCTGCACGCTGCGAGGCATGGCAAAAGAAAGAAAGAAATACAAAAAAAGAACAAGTGCTTCCATATGCTGAGCACCAAGATGCTGGAGTCTGTCTGACATGGCAGCTAAGATTTAACTTAGTCAAACTTATATATACAAAGACACAAGGAGATCCCGAAGTTCACTAGGGCCACAGAGCTGGTGATCGGTGAAGCCCAGGCAGCTGGAGCCCAAGACAGCTTGAAGCCCAGGCAGCTTGAAGCTTGAAGCCCAGGCAGCTGGAGCCCAAGACACATCTCAGCTCATGCACCTCTATCCTCCAGGAGGACAGAGGGACCTGGGGTCAAAGGGCTCCGTGGCCTCCAGACCACCACAGAGGCCCGAACAAGACACTTCCCCAAGGAACCAGGGCCAGCGACCTCCCCCTGCAGGGTCTCCCAGCTGCCCAAATCTTGGCTCCTACCTGGACAGGTGCTTCGGGAGAGGTCTTTCTTCACAGTCAACAGCTTCTGCCCCTGCTCCAGCTGGAAGATCAGCTCAAGTCTGGGAACAGGACACCCTGTTCATGGAGAAAGGAAGAAGACACTAGGATTTCTGTGAAAACAAAGAAAACCCCTCGATCTAGTGTGGGACTTCAGGATGTGGACAAGACCTCAGAATGAAGCTGATTCCACCCACAGAAATCCTGACCTAGAACTTGGAAACCAAGGTCAAAAACACCAATGTTGCAGCTTCCCTGGTGGCGCAGTGGTTAAAAATCCACCTGCCAATGCAGGAGACACATGTTCAAGCCCTGGTCTGGGAAGATCCCACATGCCACGGAGCAACTAAGCCCCTGTGCCACAACTACTGAGCCTGCGAGCCACAACTACTGAGCCCGTGTGCTGCAACTACTGAAGCCCACACGCCTAGAACCCGCGCTCCCAACAAGAGAAGCCCACAATGAGAAGCCTGGACACCAGAACGAAGAATAGCCCCCGCTCACTGCAACCAGAGAAGAGCCCGCATGCAACAACGAAGACCCAATGAAGCCAAAAAAAAAAAAGAAAAAAAAAACAACACACCACCAATGTTGGGATCCAAAGACTTTAGACTGCAGTGCTGGTTGTGTAGACAACACCTATTCCCTTTGACCTCCACTGCACAGAGTTCCAACTCTATTCAGCTGCAGCCAAGAGACACAGAATATGACCGCCTCCTTCCAGAAGGTGTTTACTAATTAACCCAAGTGAATTTCAACCACCTGTGCATTAAAATCTCCTGAGATGTCTGGTTCACATCCAACTGAAACCAAATAGGGACTTCCCTGGTGGCACAGTGGTTAAAGAATCCGCCTGCCAATGCAGGGGACACAGGCTCAAGCCCTGGTCTGGGAAGATCCCACATGCCACGAAGAAACTAAGCCCGTGCACCACAACTACTGAGCCCGTGTGCCACAACTACTGAAGCCCACGCTCCGCAACAAGAGAAGCCACCACAGTGAGAAGCCTGCACACCACAACTAAGATTAGCCCCTACTCGCTGCAACTAAAAAAAAGTCTGTGAGTAACAACGACCCAACGCAGCCAAAAATAAATAAATTTATTAAAAAAAAAAAAGAGAAAGAAACCAAATCTCTGCAGATGAGGCCTGGATACCTACAGATTTAAAAAAACCACCCCAGATTCTGGCATCAAGGGAGGGCTGAAAACTCTGGTTTCCACCAACTTGCAGGTGACCTACACCAGCCCTCTGGAGGAGAGAGCTCTAGTCCAGGATGGCTGAGTGAGGGGACCAGCCAGTGCTGTAGTCCTGCAGCAGCCTGGGTCGCCTGTGAGGGAACCTGCCCGAGGCCCTAGACCAGGAAGAAGCAGACAACTGGGCTGGCACCCACCAACCCGGTAGCCAGCCCCACCTCTGAGCTTCCTACTGGTGAGATAATAAATTTCCTCCAGGGTGAAGACTGAGCCGGTCTGTCACATACAGCCAAACACAGATGCAGGGGAAAGACACACAGACTCGGCAGGAAGTCGACGGCAGAGGTGCCAGGACTCGCCGACAGCTTCTCCGTCAGGTCCAGGGTTCATCAGTCATCACTAAGCAATGTGCTCTCCTGTGTGCTCCGTGCTCAGCACGGGGCTCAGCGACAGCGACCAAGACCTCCCTTCAGCTATCAGGAGTCACATTCCCTAGGACCTCAGGGCCTTTGCACATGCAGGCCCTTCTCCCTGGAAGGCTGTTCTCTACCCACCTTGCTTCTTCCAGCTACTTCTCTTTGGGGCTCAGCTCAAGTGTCACTCCCTGAGAAGAGTCTGCTGAACAGTGGCTAAGTGCACATACTTAACCAATCCACCACGTCACTATGAACTTTTAACCTTAATAATAATTGAAAAGTTAACATTTATAGGGTGTTACCATATCCCAGGGACTGTACAAAGCAATTTAAATGCATTATGTTGTTTAAAATGGATGGAATAATTTAAAGAACTCACATATTTAAAATAATGACTCTTTTCAGTCAAAGTAAAGTATGTCTCCATTGAGCTAAGTTTTTTTTTAGATACCCAGCAAAATTCTGAAGAGCGCTCCTCCTGTCTAGGTCCGCAAGGGCTGTGAGTCCCTAGCTGCCACCTGATCTGGGAAGAGACGGAGCACTTAGTCTGTCTCGCCATTGTCAACACACCAAGTTTCTGGGCTGGTGACCCCGGGGCAACCAGGTAACTGGCTACTGCCTAACGCTGAGGCCCCCCCATAGACGGTTGGGATTCAAGTGTGATCAACTGAGCCAACAACACTGAAGTCCGTGGGGGGCTGCTCAACTGAGCTGCCCACCACCCTATGAGAGACTGATGGCACTGCCTGCCCTCTGAGGGCACACCTGGCCAGAGTCCAGGCACTGGTCCCTGGAGCAATACAGGGATGCGAGTGGCATAGGGCACCCCCCTCACACATGCCATGGCACAGAAGAGGCTTAGACTGCTTCACAGGCAAACCTTGCCATGGCTGCTTGCCTTACTGTTGTTGCAGTTTGTCCCAACCACGTAGCGGATAAGAGATCCCATCTCTGGAGACTGCTAGTTCAACGTATAATGGGGGGGAGAAACAAAGGAATAAGGAATATTGTTTTTGCTGCCCTTTGAGACACCTGAGGATGTTTCTCAACCTACTCCAGATTGTGTAAGCCCGGCCAGTGTGTCCGGCACTCGTGAGTGCTGCTGCAGACCAGCACGTGGAGAGCTCTTCCTCAACACCAAACTGTCACCCCGTCAGGACACTGCCACCACCACTGCTGTCCTGAGGCATGAGCCCCAGCCCCTCCCTAGAAAGGCAGGCTGCCACTCACAGTGGTTGCCACTTGGGACTGCTAAGAGCCTACCAGGTAAATACCCAAATAAAAGAAAGAAAAATGGTGGTGGTGGGGGCAGAAAGGTGACCACCCCACCCCCCAAAAAAGATTTTGTTTGGAGGCAGAAAAAAAAGGAGTGGGGAGGAAGGGGCTCGTTATGCTGTGGACCAGGGCCATCCAGGGGAGAGGCTGCATCTTGGAGGCCCCAGGCCCCTCCGCCCTTTCCTCTCCTCAGCAGGAGACAAACTAAAACTAAAAACCAGGGTTTTAAATGGCTGAAAAGCTCAAAAGGAAGAAAGAAGGGAAGGGGGCACATTATTAACCTTACATATCAAGCAAACGCCAGGTCTAGCAAACATAATACTGGTTCTAGACTACTTATTGATTTATAAGCAGTAACAACAATAAAAAACCTTAGATAACAGAGAGAGAGAATAAAAATTTAAATAACATACAACATATAACTAAGTTAGAACTCTGTCTATACTGACCCAATTGGAAATCCAAAATTTATATACTAAAATTTATATAATTATTATATAATAACTACATATGGTATAACAAAATTTATATATTAAAAAACTTTTATCACCAAAACAAAACAGAGCACTGATTGGTTTGTCTGACTCCACAACACAGGTTTTAAATTATCTTTAGAATTTGCTAAAATGCACCAACTGACAAAACTTCATGAATTTAATACTGGGGCTCAAATCATAGTTATACCTGGGGATCCCACTAAAATGAAACACTCTACTCCACCACTGTAAAAAGTACCTAAATATTAAAGAGAAAAAATAGGTATATCTCACTTTGACTGTAGTTTTACCTGAATTTCCTATAGCCCTAGTACCCACTGTCCTAAAGTATCCCATATTGGGCATAGATGCTCTGACACAATACACAATTAAAATAATTTTTTGGCACTTACAAATTAATTGGCTTGATAAAATGGGACCCAACAGACCCGAGTTAAAATAATAATTCAGCCCAATGTAAGTTGAAAAGGGGCCTTTGGGGAATAGAACTTTTATATAAGACCTAATTAATCAAGGGGTGGTGATCCCCACTGCTTCTCCACGTTGACAGTCCAGCTGTGCATGTTCTTAAACCTAAAAAAACACAGGGCACCTCGCTGTGAGTTACTGCAATCTTAATGCCGTGGTCCCATCTGTTAGGGTTCCTGTTACTGACTGAATTGTGTCTCCCTAAACTGCATGTGTTAAACCCTAATCCCCAGTGTGATCCTATATGGACTTAGGGCCTTTAAGGAGGTAGTTAAGGTTAAATGAGGTCACGGGGTGGGGCCCTGATCTGGTAGGACCCATATCCTTTTAAGAGGAAGAGAAGGCCTCTCCAAGCCAGATGAAAAGTCAGGTAAGGACACAGCAAGAAGGTGGCCAGCAAGAGATCCTTATCAGCAACTGAACTGGGACTTCCAGCCTCCAGAACTGTGCGAAAATAAAGCTGCTGTTTAACCACACAGTAATGGCAGCCTGAGCTGACTAACAAGATCCACACACCCAATATCCAGTATTATTAGAACCCAGTAATTACTCTTCAATTACAGATCTGGCTAACGTGTTCTGCTGGTGTGTATTTTGACAGCCTCTCAACCTCGGTTTGCCTTCGCTCTGAAGGCAAATAGGACTCCTCCCCAGGCTGCCCCGTGGGGTGGCTCAACAGCTCTGCCAACACCCACACCCTCTGCAGCCAAGACCTCAGCTGCACCCACCCACCTCTCTCCAGGAGCACAGGCGATGTTACATCCATGACAACCTCGTCTAAGGAGATTCATTTGACACGCTTGTGACAGTGAGTCCAACACCTTTTAATCCTTTGGGGACTAGTTTTAGACAAAAATACTATTTAGTATTACTTTGGGTCTGGTGGCCACATATTCCTCATTTATAAATTTTATTTACTCTCCCTGATGCTGATACTCGCAAATCAGCCCAACTTAAATGGAACTCCCTCCAACAAAAGCTCTAAAATCTGCTCAAAATACTGTTAAATAGCCAGTCCCATCAGTGTCCTCAGAGACTCCTTCACCAAAGAGGCTTTGACAACCTCTTCTCACACCTCCTCGAGTTTCTGAATCACCTACCAGGGCCACAGATGCCCAAGGGCTTCTGATGTAACAGACTGTCCCCTCAGCCTGGTACTATATGCTACTAAAACAACAACTAACTATACACAAGGCTCTCCGGATAATGAAGGCTGTTGCAGACCCC